GATTTGGAGGCAGAATTGTTCTTTGCTTAGAACCATTATGGATTATCATGCTATCCCACCAGGAGGTCCACAGAGAAGAATATTTGAGTATGAATTTGCCTTGTGTTTGAAGATCCTGTAAGTTCTCTACTTTCACATTAGATCATTGTGTTAGTCAGCTTTGTGTCAGTGTGACCGAATCCCTGAGAAAATAAAAGAAAGAATGCCAGACATGACAGTGCATGCCTGTAATCCTAACCCTCAGGTGGCTGAGGCAGGAGAATCTTCAGTTTGGAGCGAGCCTTGGCTCCATAGTGTGTTTAAGGCCAACTTGGACCACATAGTAAGACCCTGTGTTAAAGAATCAAAACAAAAAAGGAGGAGGGGGGAAGGAGGACAGGTTTGTTTTGGCTTGTAGTAATTTCAGACCACGATCCTAATCAGTTGTCTCCATTGCTTTGAACTTACAGCGAGGAATAACATCAGGGTGGAGTAAAGCTACTCATAACAATCAGAGAGCAAAGAGAGAGGAAGTGGCCAAGGTCCCACAATCCCTTGAAGAACATCCCCAGTGACTTCACGCCTCCCCACTGGGCCCCGCCTCTTAAAGGTTCCACTCCCCCCCCCCCCCCCCCCCCCAGTAGCACCACAAGTCGGAGGCCAAGCCCTTAATACAAGACTTCTGGGGACACTTACCCAAACCATAGCATTCACATTCAAACTTTGGAAGTTTGTTAACAAGTTTTGACTGAGTTCTTCTTTCTGGTTTAAAAGGGTTCTTATGTCTACTCAGATAGGCAGTTGATTGGATCCTGTCATTGCACACACCTAAATTTGTCTAGATTTGGGATAAATTGGTCACCTTGTGACCTCAGCTTTTTGACAAAAGCCTAATAGTGGTTGTGAGTTTGCAGATTATTTAGGATTTTGTTTTGCTCTACATGTGGGATCAATGCCTTTTCCAGCTTTATATACCCCCAAGTAGAAGCTTGAAATCTGGTATGCCACAATTTAAAATTTTCCTCAACTTTCCTGCAGAACGGAGACTTCAGAGGTCGACTTCCCTATGTACAGATTCGAGCCGATGGTTTTCTAAACATACATATAAGTTCATCCCATACTACCGTTCTGACTCTGTGTAGAGTGACAGTGGTAGTGACCTTCTAAGGGAGATTTTACAGTTTTGTTTGTTTATTCCACAATTTGGATTTAGACAGTAGTGGCAATAACTCTGAGACAGGTTGAGGAAGAATGAGGTAGAACAGTTTGTCATTGTGGATACCAGGCCTACTCTCATTTCTCTCAGAAGTTTAAAATTCAGATGCCTGTAGGGGCAGACAAGAAATATAAATGAGTGAATTGTGTTTTTTTGTTTTTTTTTTGTTCTCATTTTTCCTGACACTTGTGGTCTACTTTTGATAGTTACAAGAATGGAGAGAAATCTTACTTTACAAGAAATATAGCAATGCAAGCAGAATGATGTATGAGCTCTCTCTGGAAAATAAATGTGAATACGCATGTGACAGTTTCTGGGTATACTCCATTGTCTTAAAGCTGGCGTGTTAAAGTTATCTGTCTGCACTGAGATATCTTCATTCAACATTAAACATTTATCAAACATTCACTATTTTTGAGGCTCTGTTCTAGCCTCAGAGGCTACAGTAATGAGTAAAACAAGCTCCTTCCTTACGAAGCTTACATTTTGATTTGTGGTCTGCAATAGGGAGAGAGAGAACTGTTGTTCTAGAGCAATGGCGGTGAGCCTATGGCATGCATGCCCCAGGGGCTGTTTGTATCACTGAAAGCTTGGAAAAGAGTGAATACTACTTAGAGAGTACACTGCGGCCCGGCCCTCACCCTTCCCCCAGCCAATTGTTGCATGCCACAAATATGGACCCTGCGCTGGCAAAGTTTCTAATTTTTCAAGAGGAGGGAAAAGTTGGATTTTTCAAAATTGTAATTTTCTTATTTTTGAATACTGGGTTAACATGTTTTAAATCACCGTGGAGGTTAAACAAAGCATGTCTGCAGACAGACTCTGGCTTGCGACCTCTGTCTAACACCATCTTTGCCCTTGCTGGTCTGCTTGAGAAGAGAAATGCAGTGGAGTGACAGCTGTAGCCATGCTAATTCCCTTCTCTGGAAGCAATGAACCAGTTGTCAGAGATTTGGCAATTCTAAGGCTTTATTTCCAAGGTTAACAATTTCACAGAAAGCCATTTCAAAAATCAGCCGTAAAACAAACAAAAAAATGACGATACAAATTTTCAGGTGATTATTAATCTGGGCTTAACAGTATGTGGTAAGCAGGTTACTTGCAAGCAGGTTATATTGCAGTTGTCAACCTGCTAGCAAGTTTGAGGTTGGCTTTTAAAAAATGATCCCTATTTGAGGCCACTTGCATTCCAGGTAACTTGTTATACTGTGATCCAAACTTGTATCCATAGTGAGAATTCTGTAATAGTTCTCAGTTTATCAAGTCCAGTGTTCCTAAAAAGCCGCAAACTGAAGTGTTTTTTTAAAAAATTATGTTGTTTTTAACTTATTTCCCTTTTTCTTTTAAAAAAGAAAGCTAGTTTGGACTTTCTTGACAAAGCAGGTTTTAGAGATAGTTTAGTAAATGCACCAGTTTTCTGATTGGCTCCATATTTTGCTAGTCACCTAAGTGATATCCTTGTTTCCAGGGTGTGGTAGGGCTGCCCATTAGTCACTAACTTACTGAAATTATTATTCACCAGTAAATCCTACCCATTGCTCTATGAACTTATTTTCATTCCCACCACCTTTCTTTGCTTTCTCCATTTACCTTTTCCTGTTTGCCTCCGAATCTACCCGCCTCTTGGTTCATTCTGAGGCCCCTGGGCGCCCATTTCCTGGGACCCCTAGATCTTCCCTGCAGACCCAGCTCCTCTGGAGCTCAGGCTCACACTTATTTCCTCTATTCAATTTGTCCCTAGGAGCCATTTTCTGCCCTGTAACTATTCTATTTCCCTTTTGAGGTCCTCATATTAAACTCCCAGGAATTACACTGGGGATACACGTCTATGATCAATATTTCCATCAAGGCCAACTTTCCCCAAATCTTTTGATTGCTCAAGCCAAGTCACAGGTGCACTGATTTTCCTCTGGCTCCAGGTGACCCATTTGTTCTTCATCATCATTCTGTTAGTTGTTCCCAAATTGTGAGGGATCTTGTGACAACACCCAAATTCCAGCCCGTAGGAACTTGAAGACTGAAATTCTTTATTGCAAATATTGCCTGATTTAAGCTTCCAGAGGTTCCCAAGCAGAGAAGCACCCTGCACCACACCCATTGTTCACAAAATCAGGAAAAGGCAGTATCAGGCCTCCTCTAGTGATAGCTGTTTTTGTTTTTTTTTTCTTTCTTTTTGGTACCGGGGATTGAACTCAGGACCTCACACTTGTGAGGCAGGCATCGGCACCACTGATCTAAATTCCTGGCCCTAGTGATAGCTGTTTTTAAGTGACACTATTGGTTTGTATCAAGCTGGTTTCTTAATTCAACTCCCTAGTATTTTATATGAGATAATGAGAGGTTTTGTTTTATATCACAATTACACTGAGTCTTTCTGTAGTATCATTGCATTCTGAATATTTGTGTAAAAAGATGTTTAAAATGCAGCTTTCGACAAAAGGAGAGAAGTGATCTGCATTATTTGAAAGTTTTCTGAGCACCTTATTGACATTAATAGAGTAACCAGTGTGTGAGTTTTTCTTCCTATCTTTGGATTATATGTATTCAAAATAAATTCATGATGACAGTCACATTAGTGACTTTACAAACTGAAAAAATTTCAAAAGAAAAATATGGTTAGATTCAGATCACATTCAAGGAAATAAAACCAATTTCCATTCCACATACATTCTCAAAATATGTGCTTTTGAATTACTTCCTAGTGACTGAGTCATTGAAAAATAAGTAAGTCAAACTTCAACTTCTGTAACATGTTCACATTTCATTGTTTTTTTCTTTCAAATAATTTTACACATAACTCTGTTATTTTTGGAAATCATCATTCAATATAATCTTTGTATCTTTAATGTTGTCCTTACATAAAAAAATCAGTTTTGAAATTAGAACTATAAAATCTAAAGTCTTTAATTTTTTTCAATACTTATAGCTGTTTAAGAGCTCATGTGCATTTTGTGAAGTGACTTTAAAACTGTAATTGATTGCTCTGAATAAAAGAAATGTCATAGGTATCATTCATAAATGATTTGCTTTGTTTTATTGTCCAATACGGGCAATCATTTCAAAACTCCAAGTTTAGAAGACTCCTCTTGTAATGTTTATAATAATTTAATAAATGCTAAGACCATCATTCATTTTAAAAATATCTCATTTATAATAATCATCTGGCCCCAACTGTGTTCTAATGTAGTATTTGTTAGCTGAAATAATATCAGATAGAGTAGTTTGCAGATTGAACTCGATAATTTATTGCATGACTCTGAGGAGTTTTAAGAGTGTTAAAAACCCATTTCCTTTCATTAAAATTTTTATATTCCATATTTGCACTGGATAATGTTTGCAGGGTTTAATCTGCTCGATCCCTAAGTACACATATTTATCATTGATTTTATCAGATTTTATCTATTTATGAAAGTTGCAAAACTGGATCATAATTTAAAAAAATAAACATAGCATGTCTTCCCAAGGTATGCAGCAGCAAATTGTCATAATAACTTCAAAGTAGTCTGAATTTTCCACCTTTTGGGTGTAAAATAGGAAATTTTGGTTGTCTAAATCAAGTCTGAATTTTTCCTGGAGACTGCTTTTGTAGAATATCTTGAGAATGTTTTATAGGCTTAGTTTTTTAGGCATCTAACTAAACCAACAAAATAAAAAACAGTAAAAGTAAGACATCAAATTAAATCTTGTTGACTTTGTACTTAGAATTTTCAAGTACTTTAAGTAACATCATAGCTCTCCAACCCAAAATGGCTTCATATATCTATAGTTGGGCCAATTTATTCTAGTGTATTATTTTTCTTTTTTAGAGAAACTTGATTTAAATCTGTGCATCGCCAAAGGCAAGGAGCTGAGAACATGGATGGAGAGGTAAGATTGATATAACAGTAGCCCCCTCTTTGATATTTTCTTATAAAGGAAGCCTTTTAAGCTTTATTTTTCATAATATTATCCATGGACAGAAAGTATAGAAGTGAGTAGAAATTTAGCCTCCTTTGTAGCACTCATGGGTAAAGAGGATGATTAATGAGTGTAACAAACAATGTAGGAGCTAAAGGCAGTCTATAGAAGTTAAACAAAAGTGCCTTCAGAATTTCCAAGGATTCCCATGATCCATAGTAGGACCTCATTGTGCTTGTCCACTGTTTCTATTTTTGATTAGATTTATAAACACAGCACCACATATTTTCATGTGGCTTATTGCCCAGGGGCAGAATTAGATTGACTGCCCTGAAACCGCGAGGCTTGTGAGTTTTGGGCAAGGGCTAGAGTGAAATAAGTAGTGTAATTGTTTTTGTGGCGTGAACGTGGGACCTCCTCTGTTCTGAATTACATATGGGTCAACCCTTGACCTAACCAGGCTCGGCAGTGCTGGCCGAGCTCCTAAAGCGGTGCTGAAGGGCTCATCGCCAAGCGAGCTGGAATGTTATCTGTCAGGCAAGATGTGGGCAACAGCTCTATTCAATTATATTCATTGCTAGTGTGACGCATTTGCGACCACCTCAGCTTCATTTAACCCTCATCATTTCAGCTATTATTGCAACAGGACATGCCAACGAGGGAGGTTTTTAGAATCCACATGTAGCATGGGTCTTTGCTGAACACACTATTTGGTTTTTTGTTTTATTTTACTTTACTAAATCTTGGATCATCTTCAAGACTATTGTGCTAAATTATTTAAATGCCTTTGTGATGATTTTTTTTTAACACATAGAAGGTTTGGAGAATATGATAAGCCATGATTAATGCTCTTTCATCTTAATGAGTTTAATTTAAATTCTTTCAAAATAGATGGTATCCCATGGATGTAATTCTTGAAGCGATCAGATCTAAGGTAGATACAGAGAACTCTGGGAAGAGGTGGGAGTGAAGAGTAGGTGCTCATATTTTTGCAGTGGTAGAGAATTCACTTCATGAGTTGCACAAGGATAATTGGATAAATATATCTACCTGTTTCTAGGTATAAACTTGAAGTTCATATATTTGAATTTTCATTTGGACCTCCATAAATTAGTTTCTGAAGGCAGTGTAGGCAGAAAACTAGCAGTTTATATTCAGGCATTTAACATTATTTCCAAAACTACTTTTCTTCTTTGAAATATGCCTAAAATTTTTAATATACTTTCTTTCATTGCTCATTTTCCAAGTAAAAGTCTTTGTAGATATTTTACACTTATGACAACTTGGATATAATTTAGAATTAAATTTTTTTTTCCTCATCTGAAGCAACTCAGGCTGAATATTAATTTGGTTCTTCGTTACATGACATTTAAACATTTCTTTAAAGAGTGCCCAACTTCATGTTTTTTGAATTATATCATTTTACTCCAGGGACTGTAAAACATGAAAATAGGCAGTTCTCTATCAAGTCAGAAATGCATCAAAAATATGAAAATACCTGATACTCTCCTTGCCCAGCAAAACTGATCCAACCTTCCCCAGTCTTGCTCTCATTAAGCAGTGAAGGAGTCGCTCTCCACATAATCTAACATGGAATGCTTGGAGCAGACAGGTGCAAATTGTAAGCTGTTTCACTTTGGCTGTTATCCCTTAAATCGACAAAGTAATAGGCTGGGAGAACCAAAAAGGTTCCAGCTCAAGCTGCATAAATGAAAGTCTAAACAGGACACACCAGCTGGCTGGAAGAATTCAATGTAGTGAATACTAAATATTACCTCTACGCCACTTGCCGGGGAAAATGGCTTCAATGACGCACCCTCTCGGTTATTACTGACATGATATACCTTCAGAATCCTATTCCGCTTTATTGTAAAGGCGATAGTGTGGCCAAAGTGGGTGAGAACAGAAGCCAACATACCTGTTCCTGTTTACCATCATCACACTCCTCCGAGCGATTCAGGCATGATTAGCTTCCTGGAGTTGGACCAGATTGACAGTATTTCTGTCCATGTCTTTTTTGGCTGATCCAAGCAAAGCCCCAGAGCAGTAACACACCGAAATTATCACCACCGCCTCGGCCTTCCCAACAAGATGAATCTGCTGAGCTAGTCTGCCAGAAAAACAATTGTTCATATTAGGAACACTTAATTTCATTTCCCAGAAGAGACATGCCGCGCCAGTATGTGTAGGAATCTGGGGTCTGCGTTTCCGAAAAGAGTCTAACTCGGTCGCTCAGAAGTTGCTTGTCTTTGTGACTTCCCAGCGTGCACTGGAACTATTGTTTGTGAGCATGAACTTTAACTTGCGCTCTGCGGCCGCTGACTAGGTCGGAGTGTGGGATCTGCCTGCGCAGATAATAGGGAGACAACTCGAGTTGGCCTTGTTTACGCTGGACAAAAGAAAACAGC